ACAGTATACTTCATAAAATATCAACTTCATAGGGTCTTGGCTAGATAACCAGAATATAGCATCTATATTTTAGTCACAACTACATTTTGCCTCTACCAAATAAATCTAATCAGACTCAGTAGCAGATACTGCAGAAGTGTGGGAAAGAGCATATGTGTTTTCTACATCAGAGTATCTACTCTCAGAATGTAACTACTGTTACAGCTGCTTAGTGATCACAATGCCATATTCTCAGAGGCCTCTATCAGGTCACAGTTCGTGCCCAGTACATTTTCCAACCTTATTCTCTGCAGTGTCAGGCTGCCTACAGCAACAGATTGCATCTAATTTAGTCTGAAGACTATTTAAATAACTAGATGTGGTATGAAGCAGTGACAGCGAAATACTTCTCAGGTATATATGTATATATTTTTTTCCTATATTCTGGCACTGGAGGTCTGAAATTACTTAAGAAATGCAGAGGAGCAGGGTGCAGTTTCTGAAGAACTCAGCAGCTTTCCAGGTCCCTGCTGGCTCTCAGCAACTTGCTCCTGTTGCATTCAACTACTTAGAAGTTAAAGGCTTCCTTCTGCCTTCAGTGCACTAGGAGAGACTTATTGTCTGTCCACAGCACAGCCAAGAGCAAGAAATGAACAAAGACTGGATTAAATTCATAGAACTGCAGTAACAAATGTTCCCCATAAACAACACATAATTAGGTCTTTGCAGGCTAATTATAGGCTTTCAGAATAAGAAAGTGCAAAGCCAATGTCCAAAGGTTGGGAAAAAAAAAAACCACCAACCCCTACAATTAATTTCCGACAGTCCAGCTGGACAGCAGTGCCACCTGCTGGCAGGTCTCCCATCTGTACACGGCCACAGTGTTTAGCGCCTTATTGGAAGACAGCACCAGTGGCCAGCCTGCTGCTACCAGAACAGTTGTCATCTTAAACATTGTGCCTCTCTGATCAATGGATCAGACCAGATATTAATGATGTTCTTCACAGTGACTGAAAGGGCTCAAAACATGCTTCCTTACAGCCCTCAGCACCATGTCCTGCTCTTCCCTCAGAAAACACTAGAAGTTTCATACTCCTTGTGAATCACAATTAAAGACCAAAATTGAACAGGCAGGGAAAAAATACCCGTTGTCAACAGCCAAATTAATCATGATCTCTGCACTGAACAGTAACTGTGATGATTCCTTTTTTCCAGAGACAGAACTAGAAGGCTGCGTGTTTGCCAGTAATTTTAAGAAACAGCTCCTCAAAAGCTTATCACCCAATAGCTTCAAATATAACCAAGTAACAGACTGGAGATTTTCAGGTGTGCCCAGGACCTCTCATTCTTCAGGAGGACCCACTACCACTTAAAATCCAGCCATTTCATGGAGTGCCCAAATGAGAATGGAGCTCCCAACCTTGAGAGTTGAGCAAGAACTTTGGAAAATTGTTTCTAAATATGCACTGGGAAGACCAGGAGCACAACAAAGCGCATCAGAGCTCTATCCAGTGGTCAAAGCCACCACGCACACCTCACCAGGGCAGGTTCAGCAGGCGACCCCAGGGCAAGTTAGTTCAGCCTCTCTGACCTCTGCTTTTCTCCTGCATGTAGAGCGCTCTCAGTTTTCCCTGCTGCAGAAGACGATTGGGAAGTTCATACGTTCCTGCAGCATGAAACATCCAAGTACATCAAAACAGCACAACTTGCCTAAGTTTAATCACACTAAATATTAACCAGGCTCTGTTCAGCACTGCAGGATGATACGTCTTAGTTCAATGAAGGCAAGTACTTCCAAGACAAAGTGGTATTTCTAAGTATTTTCTCATCTTGATCTCTTGTACATTTTTGCACAAGCAAAGGAGTCAAGTTCAGGCAAATCATAAAGGAAACCAGAGTAACAACGAATTGCATTGCCCTTGAGAACTGGCTGAATCACTTAATTACTTCCATCAACCATTCTTTGATGTTTGGGCTTTTGCTTGTTTTTCCTGCATAAGAAATTTATGTAACTGTGCTCCATCCCTTTCCAATAACTTTTGGGACTACTACCGGTTGTATCAATTGTGGAAAGTTCTTTAGAAATACCTGGTTCCTTTCCTGCTTCACGGCAATTACTCACTAGAAACAGGAGGTCCAAATGAGCACCCTCCACCATGGGACCAATGAAAACCACATGGCCATTTTACATTTAGCCTAACTACAGCACACCAAGTGGGAGGTAGGACTAGTGTGGGTAGCAAGGGCTTAAAGAGCAACAGGCAAAGAGATCCCAAGTCTTACCAATTCTGCCGCTTGTAGCACAACGGTGCCAAAGAGGATGGGCATGGCGGCAGCAACTCAGAGACTAGGCCCTTCTCCTCCTTTCCACCCCAGTGACTTCTGTTTTTGGAATTTCTGTTATTAAAAAAATTCAGTTGAGTTCTGTATGATTCCCAGAATGACAAACAGTGCAGGGACACAGAAAGCGGGTGTGATAAAGACGACTGTCACACACACAAAAAAGTATGTTTCACATCTGAAAGACTTCTATTATTCAGCATTTTAGCAAGAATCTCAACTGGTCCAGCCAGGTAAGCATCTGCAGCCCCTTCCTTATCACCTGATCTCTGCCCAACTCCATGACTTTGGACAGCAGCAGTCTCCCTCCATCCCTACCTCATACCTTTTCTTTTGTTCTGTTGTTCATCTGTTCATCTTTCCCCATGACATGCACTTTTTTGCATCCTGGTAGCAAGACTCTCTATCAGCCATTTGCGTATCAGGTCAACATCCCACACTGCGTATCAGGTCAACATCCCACACCACTTCACAGTTCCCTCATGCAAATTTCTCAATCTGTATTTCATCACATTCCTCTACATCTCTTACCTTACTGTCATAACCTTTGCATCTGATTCAGCCTTTCAGCTGCAGCAACAATAATCTGAAGCAGTTATTAAGAAGGTGTGCTTTAGTGAAAAGGTCAACAAAATTAACTTCCTTCCTGAGGCAGCAAGGCATGGACAATTATTCTAGCTGTATGGGCCTGTACTCACTAGAGACTGGAATCTGTTGGCCAGCTCCAAACAGCAACCTCAAAGACACTCAGTCCCCAGAAGATGTAGGTGATCTCAGTGCTTGTGGGGAAAGAAAGGATGCAACATGGATTTAAACCTCTTTAGAAACCTGAGAATCTACATGGAGATGGGTAGGAAAGAAAAAGGAGACTTATAAAAGCAGCAACTGCTGTGAAGTTTCAGACAGCACTTAAAACTGATGGGGCAGGAGAGAATAAAACTGAATCACTGCCACTTAACAGAACTTAAACAGCCTGGCTTTCTAAAAGAAATGATAGCTTAGCAGTAAATGCTGGCATAGAATTATGTTAAAGCATCACCAAACGATATCCAGTATGTCAAAACTGAACAGGAAAAATTCCTCTGTCCTGAAACAGATTTTTATTTTTTTTTAGAAGAATTGGTCTGACTCATTTTTGTAGTCAAGAGTTGGCAACTACTAAAACCCTAAGAAAGGGACAGACCACATCATATTACTAAAGGCCCTCTGCCTTTTCCATACTAGCATGGAACAGTGAAAGGTGTTTTTACGATCTTGACCGATCTTGAATAAGGCAGCAAAAAGCAAATTATTTCAATTAAGTCTGAACTTTCCAATCAATGCAGGTCTTTACAAGTGCTGTCTCTGGTTTCCTATTACCATTTGCTTACCATCTTCCAAATTTCTACTCCCCTCCCCCACCTAAATTTTCAGGAAATGATACTATCTTTACATAAATTATAAGCTAGGGAATGGCGAGGATGTTAGTGCCTTCTAAGAGTGTGTTTGGGATTAACCTTGTTAAGAGAAGCCCAGAGATAGAAACTGCTTATTTGGGCAAGATGCTTTGGCATTGCTAGCTAGAAGATACCAAAACAGCATAAATCAAAGCATGATCCCCATGAATTTGTTTGTTTGTTTTTTCCCCTACTGACATTTCAGAACAGTGCTTCCAAAAAAAGCTTCCATGACCAGGCTAAAAGTCCAGGAAACTCCAGTTATTACCTACGTGTTTTCATGTTTCATGTTCATAAGGATGTAGGGACTTGCTCTTCTGGATCAGGGGCTTCAGCCTCTAAAGAGTTACATCTCTGCAACAATTGCTAAATGTTTCACAAAACCAAACCAGAACAAAAAAAATCTAGGGAACAGACCGAATTCTAGCATTTTCAGAAGGTGTCACACATGAGAACAGTTTTAAAATTATCCTTTGAGCAATGGTACAAATCTTCAGATCTACTTACAACACCACGGCAGACACAGACGCAGAGTCCTCTGCTTGTTTGCTCTTTAATGAAGTCCCCACACTCTGACCACTGTACACCTGATACTCTTGTCAAAGTCAACTACCTTTGACTCCTTTTTTCAGGCATTCCTGAACTGTGGTTCCCAACAAGCACTTGCTACGCAAAGGATTCAAGTGGAATTGCCACATCAGGGTTATGTACACAGGGGCCTGCTGGGTAAAATCAAAAGTCAAGTGAGGGAAGAAGTGAGAAAGCACGGAACAAAGTACCAAGTCTAACACACACAAAGTTATGTTGGGCTCCAGCTGCACATCCAGACCTGTCTCATCTCACCGTGGACTGTCAACACACCTGGAGGGTCACTGTCACTGCCTGCCTCAGGATCATTCCTACAGCTCTTTCTCTTTACATTAGGCTAAGATAAGCAATACGTGTCTTGCGGCACTTCAGATGGAAGGAGAGTTGATACACAGCTCACGGGACCAGAAAGGCAGGCCTAAACTCCAGAGTTTTTGGATCTAGAAACTGCAACTCCACATGTGGAAGGTAAACTACCTATTGTGAGCTGCCTTTGAACAGCTGATCCAGATAAAGAAAAAAACAAGAGACCTTTCCTGCTTCTATTTCAGGATAGAAATCATTCAGCTACCATTATCGCTCTAGAGTATTTTACTGTTACACTTTCTAGTGAGAGAGAGCAATGAACCATCCAGAGCAAAATCATCTCTCAAATTCTGAAACAAAATAATACATTAGTAAATGAACTGTCAAAAAATCATTTATGTAAAAGCATGTTCTATTTACAACTTGCTCTTTAGGACAAGTAAAACCACTACTGGAAAAAATATACATATATAAATGCCTCATCTTTCAAATAGACATTTACAAATACTCTGCTTTGCTTAAACTACTAGAAACATTAAGACATTTGAAATTAAGAGTGCGTTCTGCATGCAGTTAGGATAGAAATTACTGTATTGGACTTCAGTGTGTCATTTCTCATCATTGCCAACACCACACTCTTAGGCTCTTCTAAAACACCACAGCCTGGCTATTGCCTTAGGATCTCAAAAGGAGGACATGGATCTTCATTAACAAGTTACCAGTTGCTCTTCATTTTGCCATTAGAAAAAGGACATCCCGACTGTCTTCTCTTCAGTCCTTTTCCCCGAGTCTCCTTTCAGTGTTTTGCTAGGCATGATGATAGTTGGCTTGGTATATTTACAAGTCCTTGGTCAGCACTCTTCCCATTATAAGGCAGAGTTCAGAAATTCAAGGAGTTCTGCACGGTTCCGGTCTCTCTGTGGAGCAGAAAAGCAGAGGCAGTGGTTTAACAGACCTGTACTCAGTGGACCAAGGCTGCATAACCCTGCTTTCTGTGGGGCTTTCGCATCTCAGCATGCTGCACAACAAATGCTACCACATTCAAACAGCTGGATATGACTGGCTACCAGTTAGGTGTGAGTGCCTGGAGGAAGTGCAAGGCAACTGGTACTCAGGCGTGATGCTATAGGAGACAAGCTGTCACTGTCACTATTTCGTGATACATTTTCTAAGTGTCTCCCCATGGAGGCTCCATTGAGTTGTCATCATGTAGCTCACAACCAAGAGAGATGCAATTCTCTGGTGTCTGAGGCCACAGCAAGTCTTGTGCTTTGGGAAGTATCTTGGGTTTTTTTCTATGCATAAGCAGCAGCTTGCAGCGTAAGAAAAAGGGAACCATGAATTTAGGTTCTTTCTTTACATAACTGATGGCCTGAACAGTCAAAACATTTGTTTCCAGTGTTTTCAAAATCACAATTTTTAAAACGATCATTGAATATTAAACTATTGTGAAGAATGTTCATGACCATGGACACCAATCAAAAAAGGACCAACATCAAATACTTGACATAAAATATTTTAACGAGCAGGTTACTGGGATACAGCTAGCAAGCATTCAGCACAATTTAACACAAACTTCATTACCACAGAAAGATAATGTATTTTTGATCAAATTTAACTTTGAATGCTCAGATCTGCTTTGGAAGCTATATAATGAAGTTGTTACAGCTGAATCAGCCAAACTGGATACCTCAGCGAAGTAACACTTCTAACACATACTGAGTAGTACCAGAAGCCCTCTGCAGATCACTCTAACATGTGGAAACTGCTGAAAAGAGTGAACATATTACTGAAGTGCTGAGTCCAAACACCCATAGCTATAGCACAAAATGCTACTCATGATACCTATTTCCCTAGGTATCTCAGCAAAAAGATTTGACTGCTTTGAGAGAATGCATGAGCATGAGGTCCTAATGCTACTATCATCTTTTCTTAATTCCTCTCTAAATAATGGTTACTCTCTCATGCGTTAGAAAAACACAGTAAAGCAGCAATTACCACAACTGATCACAAGAGACTGGAAGAAGATGAGGTCAATTAAAAACAGTGCAAATTAAATGAACAGAGAAAGGCACAAATCAGCTAAACATTATGGACTGAAATTCTAAGAACCTGCACAAGCATCCTTTGGTTTATCTACTCATGCCTGAGCATTCCAAGCCCACTCACAACACAACACCTGCCAAAAGAATGAATTAGAACTTCTCAGATTGCATCATAGCCACATTAAAAGCGACAATCAATTTACAACTCCTAACTGTAAGATCTACTCTTCTACAAAAGACTACTATTAAAAAAACACTAAAAGATAGAGTATTTTCCCTTAGGGATATATAGACTGTTTTAACCTTTACCTCTTTATCCTTCTTAGTCTTCTTTATTTTCATCTTAATTTTCTTTCCCGTTATCATGCTGTAGTTTTCATTCTTCTTTTTGTTTTTAAAGAACTAAAATGAGATCACACATTAGAAAGACATAGGCTTTGCTTTATTTTGTAATGTTACAAATCTTAAATAAAATTACAGACAATGATCTTTTATACTCCCTAACTGTCCAAAACAAGTGATGGGTCTCTAGTTGCTGATGACAAAACTGGTGGTGTTACGACAGGACAAATTAAGTGTTTAGATAAGAAATATAATGGAACTTCACACTCACACAAGCATACCTTGGAAAGCTGGACAGGTCCTGTTTTCTCTCTCTTTTTCTTCTTTTCTTTCTTTTTCTTCATTTTGTTCTCTTTTTTCCTTTTCTACAAGTATAAGACACTTATGCTTACAGATTCACAAGGGCAAAAAAAGGAAACCCACAAGTAGCTCTTAACACCCCGTCTAGTCATGACAGCCACTACTGCTTGCCCTTACCACTGCTGAATAGGTACTACCTGAAGTACACAGAAAGTAGTGCAGCAGGGTTGGCAACTCTTGAGATCCTGAGAAACAGAAATGGTCTGATCCCTAGTTATATCTCTTTTAATGTAACCCCAATATATAAAAATCACTGAACAGAAGGTCCTAACGCAACGAGAAAGAAAAATTACAATAGCAAGAATCTGCCACTCTCTGTCTGACTAGAGATAGTTTCTTCTAACAGAACTTATACAAAGTTATCAAGACTCCCCACTTCTCTTTTCTTCAGAGACTACTCTAAATTCTAGCTGGACCAGAAACAACTGACAAAAGGAACCTTTAAATTATTTCTCCTTTAGTATACAGTCAAATATATGCCAACCTGTCAGCTCACCTGCTGTAATGCTAAAAGCGCGATTCAGATTTAGATAGCCACAGACAAAAGCATTGCATCTTACATGACATTGAAGGTTATCGAAATATGAAGAACTATTTTCTGTTTGTTAACAACTTCTTTCTCTTAGTAAATGTTTACCTTTTTGTTGTGCTTTTCTTTTTTCTTTTTCTTTGATTTAGACTTGGGAGACTCTAAAAAAACCAAAACAAAACGCTCTAAGTTTAGTATTCTGAAAAAGGCACTTGGTTTTACAGATAATGCACACAGAAGTGTAAAGCATTAGAAGAAATTGCTTTAATTCAGCTACATATATATATATATATACACACACACACACACTAATGCTGGCTGAAACTAACCCTGAGGAAAGCAACACATTAACTTACTGCCACTTACTGGTCTAACATGGAAACTGAAAATACCTGATTTACTCCGTGATTACTTATACCAATCTATTATATTAATAGAGACAATATTTCTCTCTTCTTTCCGCAGCTCATTGCTCTGAAAGTCACAGTTTTTTCACTCCTCCTCCATAATGGCAACTACCTACACCTATAGGTCTGTCTTAGCTCTATTACTTTACATCTTTTCTTGTCTAGATGAAGTAGAGTTGCTTAAACATGCCCTTGTAGGACATTTTGCTAGATTGTCTGCTTTCTCCTGTGAATGCGAAAACTTAGGAAAATTTTAGCTGTAAAGTTTTAGCACATCTCTGAGCATGCAGACTGATAACTTGAGCCTAATTCAGAATGTTTTTTTCCTCAGACACGTTTCTTGACATCCCTCCAAAAGATGAGCCGGAAAGCATGTCAAGCATGTTCACACAGTCAGTGTCTGACATGGCATTTTAATTCTTTTTAAAGTTTTAGAGCGTATCACATGGGGTAAAATTAGTTCAAGAAGAAAGGAAGACCTCATCCAATCAAATGTACAAGTTCATAGATTTGAATATTTTCAGAATTTATTTATGTCAGATACATTGAATCAAGCTGCTGAGGTATGAGAACAAGTAATATTTCCATACAGATCTGCTTCAAGAGAAGTCTTTCTTAACCGTGGAATACACAGTCACAAATATAAGGTCCTGTACCAGATGGTGAAGTTTCAGCCAACCCTGATGTTAAAACTTTTCATCAGGATTTCCCAATCATAGAAAACACACTTCAGTGTTTAGCCTGACACATTTTATTTAAAAATGGCAATTTGATCACTTTACCTGCAGTGATACCAAATATTTTGATACAGAATATCAAAACAATGCAGTCCTGTTACAATCAGCAGTGCATGCCCCTCGATGTCACAAGTTATATGCATAGAAAAAACCTGCACTTACTCCCGTATACGATCTACCCCAAGCCCTCTAAGTAAAAACTGGCAGCTTAGTATGGAAAGTCTCAATCCTGCACTGCTTGCATATGTGTTCCCATTGAACTTGGTCATTGGTACTAATAAACTTCACATGAGTCCTCAAAGTTAATGCTTGAAATGTTAAGACCAAAGGAAGACTAAATCAAAAACCCTATCTGGTCTTGCTGGATGGGTGAAGTAGAAAAAGATCTGTGTTTTGAAAGTATAATGAACACAGAGTTTTAAATAGATACAGCATATTGTTACAAAGTAACATTTATTTGAATGGCAGTTTCTCTTTTGAAGTTATTTAAATTAAGAGAGGAACGCTGCATACCATGTGTAAAGACGTACCTTAAGACAGCAAGAGAAAAAGGGTTCCGAGAGAAACAACCTGAACAGGCAACACTGGCATTCTACACTGTCACTTTGTGGTGGTTTAGCCACATTTAAAATCAGCTTTAAAGGTTTCCAGGAGTGCTATCAAAACTGGTAAACATCATGTGTGCACATGGAGGTAGCTTACCTCTGCTACTTGAAGACGACGACCTTGATGATGAGCATGATGAGGAGGAAGAAGAGGATGTAGTGCTAGAAGACGATGCAGATGAAACGGATGATGATCTGCTTCTACTGCGTTTTCGTTTCCTTTTTTCTTTTCCTGAGGATAACACAAGGCAACAGTGACAAGCGTCCTAGTAACTGCGGTCTACAAGAACGACTCTTCAAACACAACAAACCCCTATTTTGAGGGGTTGGTTCCGGTTTTTTCGCCCCTCTTCAGTGTGCCATGGTCTACTACTGTTAGCGAGTGACAGCGCTCAACAGCAGGGTCAAACACAGTAACCGACATAAAGGATACCACATGCAATGCCATAGCATGGAAACAGATCACCAATGCCTACCTCGGACATTCAGCCCTTCCTGTGCAGCTGCACACAGTGTCCTACTTTTTTCATCCTTCCTGTTATCCATATCTAGTCAGAGATAAAAGCACATTCAGTAACACCACTCCCAAAAGACTTTGGGAGATTAAGAAGAACAGAAAAGCGCAGTGCAGGCACAGCGGAAACCGGCGAGCACTGCTCGGGGCAGCCCCCCACCACTCCTACCAAGCTGCATGCCGCTATGATGAAGGGCACGTTCAGGCTCTCATCCTCTGGCATCAGGAATCGGAGGCCAAATCTCTCTTTTCGTGGCCGTTAGTCCCTACCCTGTATCGCTCGCCACGGCAGCTGCATTTCAGGTCATCGGTGGATTACGGGATCTC